AGTGACCCCACTGATAATGTGGCAGAAATGGGCAAAAAATATTGCATAAAAAATTCAATATCTCAAAAAGTATAGACGTCATGAGCACCAAGAGTCAGAGCAATAATTAGCAGAAACAGCAGAATTTTGAACGGTGCTAATAGCATGAAAACTGAGGGAGTAGTTAAGCGGCAAAAAACGTACGGAAGCAACCAGAATAATAAAGAATAAAGAGAAACAGGAACTCAATAGTGCCCTTTGAGGGCATCCACACAATAATGTGATGCAAGGAAACAAAGACAACAAAGGGAAAAATAAGCCACAGCAAACCTTTTGTAAACATGTTTACTGAAAACATCGATAGATGGTTATTATTAAAACACTCCATATATTACCTGCTGCATGCACGTCCCTGCTATAGATGAACTGAGGTATCTTCCTCTGGCAGTAACACAGTACTGTGATCGCCCTGCACTGCATGTTTCTGCTGTAGACCCGTGCAGGCCTTTAAAGCCTTTTCTTTGCCGTCTGTGGCAGATATGATAATAAGACTAACGAGGCTGTTCTGTCACGTACAGGAGCTCAGAACAACCTGACGCTCGGCTCTCCGTCTGTGAGCGGCGGCCCGTCTCCGGTGCAGAACGGCAGCTCCGGTGAGCCTTTTCCTGCCGTGTCACAGCGCGGCGTTCAATGCCGAGCTTCACGCTGTCATCAGATAACGACGCTGTTTGACTCTGTTTCAGCTCCAGTGTACGGCGTGCAGAATAACCTGACCACTCCCACTCCCACTGCCTTTTCTCCCACTGCAGCCAACACACACATAGGTCTGTCCCACTTCACCTCCTAGACGTGCACATGACACTGAAAAGCACCCGAACACATCAGCTCACAGCTTTGCCCTCCTTGTCTCCTCACAGTTTACGGCGTGCAGAAGAACGTGTCTGGGACGAGCACAGCCGCCGGTGAGGACGTGATGAAGATGACGCTCCAGCTGCTGGCTGTGAAAAAGATTTAAGATATTTAATCTTTATCTCGCTGTCTGTGTCTGACAGTGAGACCCAGCAGCCCCACCGGTGACGAGG